AGGAAAGACCTCAATGCATCATTACAGTCTTCTCTGGGGAATGCAGCAGATAAGCCACAGAATCCTCTTCCGGAGAGAGCAAAAGTGGTTATCTCCTTTCAGAACAAGGATGAACTTAAACAATTTCGTGTTTACATGGTGAGTAGTTCCGGGTGTTTTCTTGAAGCAGAATAATTTACACCCCGCCGATGTCAACCAAGGTATTAATATCATTAGGCAGATGATGTTTATAAAGGAGACTAAATTCTCCAAGATAACTCATATTTGAGTAGTTTTTTTTTTTTATAGCAAGGCTAGAATTGATTAAAAGTCTAGAACACTTGTGAATGTATGAAAAATTAAATTAATTGTACCCCCGTCTGAAACTGTACACACTTTTGGGTTCTACTTTTTTTTGGGTACGGCAACATGAATTAAACTCTTTAATATTTCAAGTAAAAGTAGGTCACATTGGATTTTCAGAGATGTAAAAGACATGGTCAACAAGTGGAGGGAGCAAAAAAAATTGTTATTCCATAGTCCAGAGTCATTTATTCATATTCTTCCAATTTGAACTCTAGCCCTGAGAAACAATAATGGCTTCCATTTACAATGTTTTAGCTTATTCTTATCATGGCTCTTTCCAATCATCTTGAAACTTTGTCTTAAGCTGACAATTTTTTTTATTCATATCATAATTTACTTCTTAAGAATTTGTACTAGTTAAGAATTACTCAAGCGCTCCTTGTGTGAAGTTCTCAGCATACGATGACTTTGTATTTAGTCATCAAATTCTTTTGTTTGTTTGTTACTTTTAGTTTGTACTGCTAACTTTATCATATCTACTAAGTATTCTTATTTAACCAGATACAGCTTTCGTTTCATACTTCTCTCTACATTGACCATCGTGATTCTGATTTCCACAGCTAGTTTTTGATCTCGTACTTTGTGTCATATGATATTTTGTGATTTCTGATCATAGATATGGCTTACTCATGTAGGATGATAAATTTGAACGACTCTTCAAGATGTATGCTGACAAAGCTAAGTTTGATATTAAACAATTAGTTTTCTGCTTCGATGGGGATAAAATAAGTCCAGCAGAGACTCCTGGTAGCCTAGGGATGGATGACGATGATATCATTGAAGTGCATGTGAAGTCAAACTAATCCAGGTAAAAGAGGTATTTCCTCGATGGCTATACTGGTTATGTTTTTGCATTGTACATTTCATTCTTCGGATTTTCGTTTGTATATTTTTTAAATGGCAACCTTATATAGCATCAAAACAATGCTCAATCCTTCTCTGGAATGTGTGTGAACCACCACACAATTTATGAGCATATATCCTCACCGCTTTATGGAATTGAAAGATGAATTTCATTAAAGATTCTGTGGTACTCCATTGATCAAGTAATAAACCAGCTAATCGAGTCCTCTGGGAAACTACAAGTTCATTTTCCTAATCTATACCTCAAGGATGGACGAGTAATTATTGGAGCCTCCTTTCAGAATCTTACTTCTTGATCCTTGACAACACATTTCTTGCTGACTGCATATGTTTATATTTATTACTATCAAAGAGGGGATGGACTGCTAGCTCCAGAAATAAAGAACATAAAAATTCTTATGTTCTTACATAAAGGAGTTCCCCATGCCCTGAAAAGATCTCTTGTCTTCCCTTCATTCTGCTCAATCCGCTGCTATAACACACCAGCCAAAACCGATATTTGACCTCAGTTGGTATCGCACAAGACATTTAAATATCCCAAAAGTTATTCCAGTGAAGCAGGAGATGAGGTACCTCCCAGACTCTGTATACAAACCCAGCTTAACACGAGTTTCCTGCACCAATGCAAGATGTCAGTAGAAGAATGTCAAACAAATTCTCCACACAACAGATATTCCAATCTTTTAGCAGTTCCTGTGGACTAAACATTTTCCAGTCACACCTCACTGCTTATCCGACCAACACATCTATCGCCTCATGTTGCCAATCTCAAAGCCTAAATATTTGGAGAACTCGCTCCAAGAGTGTTAATCGAATCCATAACTCCCATAAAAAAGCTGGATCTTCCCACTGCCCATTTTGGGAGTGTTTATTTATGGTGTACCAAAGCAAAATTTTGACTAGTCCCTATTATTTTGTTTCATATATGAAACTGGTTAGAGTTCGTATTTTATTTTTAAGCTTATCAGTATCATTTTCCCGACTTCTTTCAGGATGTTGGATGACCTGTGGCATTCAAGTTGATGATTCACTTCCTTGGGGTCGAAGGCTTCTTTTGGATGACTTATGTAAAAAAAAACGTTTTTGTTGTTGTCCTGCGGCCGTAGGGTGGAAATCTTCTTTTGGTAAATGATGATGAACTTAGTAGAAGCTATTGTCGAAAAAATGCAAGGATTTATTGCATTCTTCTGTAAAAGCACTCTCTCCTCATAAGTAGAATAAGCAAGATTATAAGCACACCCAAACATGCATCCAGGGTTAAGAAAATGCTTGTAGGACTCTTTTCATTTGAGTTTGATTATATGCTATGCAAGTTGTGACTATTAAGTATTAAAGAATGTGATTTGCCTAAGAATGTGGTTGTGGCAGTCGCATTCACAGTTTATGGAATTTCATTTTACAAGGCTATTTTGAGACTTTTATTTTTCTTTGTACATGAACCAAAATCTGATAAGCTAGACTATAGTTATCGAACAATGCAACTTATACATAAGAGTTACATAATGATTTACATACAAATATGGTGTCAAAAAGAGTGGAGAGTTTTTCCTTATTTAATTAAAGAAATTATAATCCAATCATATCCTAGGGTCCGTTTGATTGCAAATGTGGAAAATGGGTAGTAAGAAAATGAATTCCAAGGAATTGAATTGCCTAGAAATTGTTTTATTGAGAATTGTAATTAATTGTGTTTGATTTATATAATTTTTTACTAGGAAAATGTTAAAAATTTGATATTCGTTTGGCTTTATTTTTCATGGAAATTGTCCATTAATGTAATAATTCTTTTCACCATTGGATCTAGCATTTGTTCCAATTGAAAAAAAAATACCGAATACCATTCGTTTGGCTTTGTTTTGCATGAAAATTGTCAATAAATGTGATAAATTTTTTTACCATTGTATCTAGAATTTTTTTCAATTGTCAAATAAATAAATAAAAAACAACAGAACCTGAAAAATCAAAACCCACCTAAAAGGTGGGAAATGATTTTCATCCATTTCCAAGAAAATGTGCACGTGCCACACAAAGTGAGTAAACATTTTACATGTAAAACTTCTCCTATCAAACATCAAAAAAGTTGGAAAGTGGAAAATATTTTCTTAGTTCTAGGGAAAATAACACAAATCAAACAGGGTCTTATAACATTATGTATGTGTAAATTATTATGTAAATAATTATCAACATATAGCAAAATCGAAGTTGATTTTTATTACTCATGTTTAGGTTTTTCTTTACGAATATTGTGATATCTCATTACATCATAGAGTAAGCAAAAGTAGGATATAATCCAACATTGGAAACGACACAAGAAAAGACAATTTTTACACCATTTTAAAGCATGTTTGGGAAGTTTTTATAATTGACCCTCGTTTGAGCCTCAATTTGAAAGGAAAAAATGTATTTTTGAAAAGTAATTTTTGTAGAATATGTGGTTAAAATTGAAGAAAAAAAATTTCAATTTACGTAAGATATTATTTTATTGGGAAATATATGATTAAAAATGAATTTTTGATTAAATGAGGCTCAAACAAATGTTTGATTTAAATTATAAATATATAGAATGGAACGGTAATTAGTGGTTAGTAATTGGGTGGTTTGACTTATTGCATGGATTGAAATGTCTTGTAAATAATTACATTGATTAGTCAACTTGAGATCAAACTGACGGTTCCAAACGATTTTCGCGTTTACCCATTTTTGCTTACGTACGATGTACGGTTTCTTGGACAATTGGTGTACTAAGCAAGGCCCAACAGAAGAATTTGAAGATCCAGTTTGGACTCTTGTTTTGTGGAAAAAGGGAACAATGCCCACAAATTGGTAATTCTAGGATGAGAAAATTACTTCAATCCCTATCTTTTTAAAGTAATGTTATTCATCCACAGTGAGGATGAAAATACAGTTTATATGATTTTAAATGATAGGTAAAATGAAATGTGAAATTAAATGACTTATTTAATTTCACCTATCATTTAATGCCACATTAACGTCACGTAGACTGTGTTTTCATCCCCAATGGAAATGAATAGCATTACTCATCTTTTTAAGGTTTAATTTCAAAAAACAGGTGTTAATAATTTTTTTTCCTTTTTTTTTTAATATCAAAAATCAAGTATACTAACTAGGCCCCATCCCATCTCATACCACCAAAACCATATCTCAAGATCCCTAGCACCACCAACTCCGCTATCGCCAAAATTAGATCTATATGGCCACCACCAACCCCTTTGTTAAGCATTATAAACCATAATTATATTCCATCGAGAGTAATTAATTAGAAAAATGAAAAATAAACCCTTAAGAACACAAAACAAATATAGAGATTCGCTTCAATATGAAACTACGTCTTTTCNGTCGGAATAATCCCGGAGCAGTAGGGGTGGTACAAGTGGGGTGGGTTAATTATATTATATTATATTAAAAAAAAACCTGATTTTTGAATTTTCAAACTATAAACCTGATTTTTGAATTGGTGTAAAGTAAATACCTTATTTATGAATTTTTCCCTTACTTCAATCCCTATCTTTTTAGAGTAATGTTATTCATCCCCAGTAAGGATGAAAACACAGTTTATGTGATTTTAAATGATATGTTAAATGAAATGTGAAATTAAATGACTTATTTAATTTCACCTATCATTTAATATCATATTAACGTCACATAAACTGTGTTTTCATCCCCAGTGGGGATGAATAGCATTACTCATCTTTTTAAGGTTTAATTTCAAAAAACAGGTGTTAATAATTTTTTTTTTCTTTTTTTTGAATATCAAAAATCAAGTATACTAACTAGACCCCATCCCATCTCATACCACCAAAACCATATCTCAAGATCCCTGGCACCACCAACTCCGCTATCGCCAAAATTAGATCTATATGGCCACCACCAACCCCTTTGTTAAGCATTATAAACCATAATTATATTCCATCGAGAGTAATTAATTAGAAAAATGAAAAATAAACCCTTAAGAACACAAAACAAATATAGAGATTCACTTCAATATGAAATTACGTCTTTTCTCGCCATTGTAATAATTCACTATGATGCAAAAAGTTCACAAATTACAAGGGAAATCGCACGCCTATCTTCTCTAACCCCCCTTTCTCAATTTTTTGATGATAATCATAAAGTCTAAGGACAACTCTCTATTTATAAAATAAATTAGAACAAAATAGAATGTTTTAAGAACTTCAATTTCTTAATAGAATTTTAAAAGAACACAAATAATTAAACAATCTTTCATAAAATTTTGGACCACCGGCTCCCCTAGCACCTATGAGAGGGGGCCTTCTGCCCTTCTTCCAACCCCCACGACGACCTCACCGTGGAAGTCAATTTGAGACAAGTTTAGCAAAGTAGTAATAATTAGATTCCACAACTTAACAATCTTCCACTTGAAAAGACTAATTCACCCTCAATGACTCTACAACTATAACAACTCCTCATTCCTTAAAACATAAGTCCAACTGAACACTTTAGTTTCTCGATATGTCGCCGAATTGTAACTCTCTTGGATCTTCTCGAGTGTTAAGATCTCATCCTTCAGAGTCAATCTGATGAAATGACAACGAACCTGTATATGCCAAATTAATGATAAAAATGATTATTTGCTAAGTGAATAGAACTGTGAATATACACTACAAGGTAACATGTTTCTAGCTATGTTATATTTCAAACAGAGATCATTGCATGTAAATTAGTTGATAAACGTCAGGAAATTCTTGCTTTGTAGCTATAGTATGCTTATCCAAAAACTATATCGAAAGAAGAATCTCGGAAAGTGGCAGAGGTAAGTGGGATTGATCTAATGGTGGTGAACCCTCATTTGTTGTTGGTCCTCAGCTTGCACCTCAACCAACCAGTATATTACTACTGATATTGGCTGTTGTTACAAGGTTTAAACATTTATTCTTGTGCCATAGATTACTAATTAATGTCGGACGTTCATGTTCATCACTAAGAATGAGATTTTGAAGAATAAATGGCAGAGAAATTTAGCTATATGTTTGTTGATGCTTTCTTGAAATGAAAAGCCAGTGTGAATTAAGCTCGTGCATATGGCAATTAAGTGATTTTTTTTGCTGTCAATTCACTGATTATACTCAGGCCACAAAGGAGAATATTCAAATGTTGATGACTGCAACTAAGAGTTTCCAAGAGAAGGGATTTCTTTAATATTCATGATATCTTTCAAAATGCACTATTCTGTTTGTTGGAATTTGGGTCTTCAATCAACCAAAACCGAGCTCAGATTAAACCAAATCAAACACCACAATAACAACCAAGAACCTCCAAAACCGACACCACCCATTCACCGGTTGCTTCAACAAGAATCAGCCCACAAAGGACTCGGTGTGAAGGGTTAGGCAGCCTCAAGAAACAGCCACTAAGGCTAAAGAGGAAGGAGAAGACGAGGTAAGCACAAAGCAAGACCCAAGAGCACAAAGCCACGCTCCTCTCACTCAAACTCAC